GACTGTACTTCTTCTTCTGTCATCGGTAAACTATTTCAGCCCACTGTGTGTGTAATGATCTATTGCACCCGTGTGGTTCATTAGTTTAGTTTCACTTCTTTTTTTAAACAAATTTATTTTAAATAAAATCAAATTATTTCAATTAAAAAAAATTTGAATTAAATAAAATATGGCTTTACAGCTCAAAATTTTGAAAAAATAAATTTAAATGAGCCAAGCACAAATAAACATTAGAGCGTCTAAAATTCGCCTATGTGTGCACGAATTTTTTAATATACTTTATTTTCACTGAGTGAGCACAAATTTTAACGAGTTCAGCTTGGGCTCGGTGTCAAGTCAAGCCCAACAGAAGATGCTCGCTTTCTCGCTGCCAATAACCTGCACCCCGTCAGAAGCTCGTCGTCCCTCCCTCCGGATCCAAATCCCTCTCCTCCATTGCCGATGAGAAAAAAAACGCCGGAGTAATACGTCGCTAGCTCGAGCATCGAGCTTGCCGACCCGAGGAAACTGAAAACCCTAAATCCCTCCTTCTCCCCGTCATGGCCTCCGGTCAGGACCCCGGAACAACGTTGATGGATCTCATCACCTCAGACCCTTCAGCCGCTCCTTCCAGTTCCTCACTGGCGGCGGCTCCCACCACGCTTGGCAAGCCGGAGAACGCGGATCACCTTGAGCCAGATCCAGAGCGACACCATTTCGGCTGCGAGGGCTTTGAATCCCGTCAAGGCTTTCCCACAAAGGCAGAGGAAGAAGGTTGGTTAGTTCGTTGGTTTCTTTTTGATTATTTGTCGTTGTACAGATGTCAGAATTGTTCCTTATGCCTTGTCATGGATTCCTGGGTAAGTTTCAAGTTAAATTTAGTTAACAGCACGCTGAAGTTTGATTAGAATAGACCACTAGCAATGTTGATGCTATCAGTTACCTCAATTGCTTATCGTAGTTGTCATACTAGCTGATTTGGTAATAAGGTCTGTGGGGATAGCTCTTTTCTAAAAGCAATGGAACCTGGTGGCTTATTTGATTTTGACTATGCAAGTGTAGCGAAGATATAAACTTTCAGTTGTAGTCTTTGGTAAAATGGGAGAACCCATAATGGCTTTAATGGTTCTCTTGCAGCTTCCAGTTTCTTATGCTCAGTTAGCGAGGAGTATTCATGAATTTGCTGCGACGGCAGATCAGGTTTCATTTATTTAATAATGTTTATATTGCACTATTTCCATTATTTAGTTTTACCCAAAGATTAAATGTTAATTTCACGTAATTTTTCTACTCAGAAAAGTTCACAGAGGAAGCTCGTGCATCATGTGTTTCCAAAACTTGCTGTGTACAACTCAGTGGACCCATCTTTAGCGCCATCCCTTCTTATGGTATGGGTTTATTTCCTTCAGTTTCAACTTCGTACATACCATAAGCAATGTAACTCCATAGGAAATATCTTTCATAAACCATTAATTGACATTATACGCCGCGGTGGTTGTGTGCTTGAGGGGCGCTGAGCTCAAGTAAAATAGATAAACTGAATAAGGGAAGGTCAATGATAGAATCTAAGTGCTTTCAACCCTCTGCTTTAACAGAGAATTAGATGGCTTACCTACTTAAAAGTTTTGATATCCAAAATTCAGGATTACTGTTGTTTAATCTTGAAAATAAATATTTTTATCCGTGTACTATACAGACTAAGGAATTTGATTTTAATCGTATGAAGTTATTGCAGTCCTATAACTTAATTGTCCCCTTTTTTCTTGGAATTATGCCATTCCCAATTTATTTCTCTTATTTGATAGATCTTTTTTATGTATTTGCAGCTTCATCAGCAATGTGAGGATAGGAATGTCTTGCGCTATGTTTATTACTATTTGGCTAGAATTTTGGCAGATAATGGCGCACAAGGCTTAAGCGCAGCTGGTGGAATCCCTACTCCAAATTGGGATGCACTTGCTGATATTGATGCTGTTGGAGGTGTCACTAGAGCAGATGTTGAGCCAAGAATTGTGGGGCAGCTTAGTGCTGAGGCCTTAAATCCAGATATTGAATGTATTGTACATCATACTTTTGTTATCAACATAGCTTTAGTTGCAAAGTTTTTTTTTTTATTTTTTTGTTTGAAATTTTGATTGAAGTGATTTTAAACTTAATAGTCATGGAATTTTATTATCAACTTGAGGAAATAAAAAATTGAAATTTGAATGAAGTAGGATAACTGTTGTATAAAATACAATAAAATATTTGAAATAATGAGGAAGCGATGAAGAAATGAATTTTTGAAAATTTGAGAAAGCAAATAAAAATTTTCTGCTTTACAGTAAATATTTGTTTATTAATTTGTTATTGAATATCATGAAGACTCACGCGCTATTTGAATCATACATAATTGAACAGATTCTAGCTTGTAATCTTACTTTGATGCTTTAAATTGTTACACTCTTCCCAAAAAAAATCACTCTACACTGTTGAACGTGAGCATTATGTTTAATGCTGAAAGTGAAAACGGTTATTTCTTTAATGTTGTGGTTTCATATTGGATTCATGATTAAAGTGAACTAAAATATATTTCTATAGAATCTATTGGCATCTCATGGATCAAAGTGTTCTAATTTTAAGTAAGTGAATTGACATCACCATCTTTCTCCTAACTATTTGGTTCAAGCATTATAAATCATCAATCACCTATTCATTACCACCGAGTTATGCACAAATTTTTTTCGCTTGGCTTCATTTTGTATTTTTTTTGGTCAACCTATTTCATTCTTAGTTCTCTTACATTAGTTCTATTACCTATTCTATTGATGCATCTTCTATCCTCTGTTATTTTCTATTATCTTCTGTTCATTGAGTGCCATTTAGTTTGTTCATTAATATACTAATTTCTTACTCTATTCTCGCTCCATCCTTCCTAGATTATTCATACATCCATTTTACATTCTCATTTTTATCATATTTAATTTAGTTATGTATGAGCTTTTTATTGCTTGATACTCAGATCTGTATAGTCTTAGCTAGTACAATTGTATTTACTCTAGTATTCTCTTATTAAATATATTTTTCTATTATAATTCTCCATAAAAAACAACTATAACTCTCAAAATTATCTTATTGGAGTATCTTTCTTTTTCGTAACAGATCTAGATTACTTGAACTTATCACCCTTAGTTATTACTTTATATTTTTGATAGTATAGATTAATAATTTACAATTTAAGTTCACTAAAAGTGTATATCATGCAATTAGTTTGATTAGTAATTATAAAACCTTTTTCTTGTGATTGTTTTCTCAATTGTTTTAACTTTTATTTTTCTTTAAATGCTTTATTGTATTAATTGTTCTATGCAAACAACATACATTTAAGTAATACTATGAATCTATTTTCTAAGTTTCTCCATGGCCAACACAAAAGATAGGCCTTTATGTTGATCATTGATGTAATTCAATGGTGATTGGAAACTCCCCATCCTCTCTGTAACTACCAATGCTGGTCAATTCTCCATCTTAATATTTTCGGTTACTTATCGTACCTTTTGACATCCATTTTTTACTTTCATTAACATCAATTGCTTAAAATTCTTTCGATTTTTATAATTTAGTAAATCATCTTGATGATTCATTAAAGAGTTATCGGTGGGAGTTATTGAAAAAAATGTTCGCTTTGAAAGTAACGCCTTTTATTTCATAGTGTTAGCAGTTTGTAGGATGAAATAGCGGTTGGTTGGTTGCCAAAGTCAGATATAGATATATATCATTAATGTCTTGCATTCTTTGTTCACAAGCTTATGCAGTGAACGGACTTGTACCTTCTGTTGCATACTCTTTACTTGTTAAAATTCTTTTATCGGTGATGTTTTTAATATTTTTTCTTTTATCTAACTATTTTTTGCTATCTTTGGAAGTTCATGCGAGAAGGATTGCTGCTTTGAAAGCTCTCAGTTGTGCTTCATCAAGCAGTTTAGATATACTGGACAAGTTGTATGAAATTGTTTTTGGCATTTTAGAAAAGGTATGCTTCGAACTTATTGATATGGAAATTCATCAAGCTGCTTAAGAGGGTTTTCTTAGGGTTTAAGTTTTATGGTTTGTTGAAAAATGCTTTCATGAGTTTATTTAGTTTCTCTTTGAAATTCTGATTATCGATTGTTTCCCCCATTCCATCTTTTCTCTTTTCCAGAATTTTAGTTTTATTAATGTTGTTTTCATAATTTTTTAGGTTGGAGATGCCAAGCAAAAACGTAAGAAAGGCATCTTTAATAGGCCAGGTGGTGATAAGGAGGTATGACAACATTTTTACTTAAAATTTCTAGAAGCTGGAATTTGGTAAGGCTCTTTCATTTGCAGGCTATTTATTTAAGTGGATTGTTTTTTCTATTTGTGTCATGGTTGTAGTTATAATATGATGGACTAACATCAAGGTTCGGTATTTGTTCGAATATTTATATACAATTAATGCTGCAATTAAGAAAATAACTATGCAATGTAAATTGTCTGGAAGGATTTTACAGAAGTAATGCAACACTATCTAATGTAGAGGAAATGCAAATTTATACTTACAAGATGCAAAATGACTATCGCATTCAAACCTCACTAATTAAGTAGTTCTAGTGAAGAAACATTTAGGTGTGGACATTGATTTACATTTGAAGCTGTGATTACTCAAGAATGGAAAATCAGATGAAGTCCCAAAAGTATTCCAACATATGGGCTGCATGTGTTGATTGGAAATCCAAATATGTGTGAAATATGAATAAATAGCATTATATAGCTCATCCATGGGCTAATAATGGACAGTGGAAAGAGACAGAGAAGATGAAATGTAAAAGGGTGGAAAAGAAGTATTTAATAACGGTGGTTGAAGTGATTTTATAGGTTTCTCTTTGAAAATAATACTTGGGAAGCTTTAGATCTTCATATCTAAGGAAGAAAGTATTTAGTTTTCAGTATTCAAATTTTAATGTTGTTTTTTTATCCTCCCCAATCATATCTAAGGTATTTACTCTAGTTTATGCAAGATCTCTTGCACAATTTTTAGTCATATTATCTCCTATTTTGTTTCACGAAAATTATATCTTCTTGAATTAATGTTGGATCATTATTTACATCTACTTGCTTTGTTGGTGAGTTATCCATTGTCTATTGTACATGGCATTTTGTTTGTTTTTTCTTTTGCACCACTCATCTTCATTGAGTGCCTTCATAGTTTTCTCTCTATCATTATTTTTTTTGCCCTATCCTTTGTTTAGCTCACGTTCATTTTAATATTCTCATTTCTTTTACACTTCACTTGATTGTTAGTGACCTTTTTATTGCTAAAAAATTGGATCCATATAACTTAGCTGGTCTACTTATGGGCATTATATTTATTTTTAAAATCCCCATTATTTTTTCTTCTTACCTCGTAATTCTAAACCGGCGATTATTTTAAACCAGAAACTTATCTATTGTATTGTCATTTGCAGTCTACTTCTTTTATTATTTAGCAAAGGCTTGTAAACCTATCTTTGACAGATATCACTGGATCTTCAAGCATTATTGATGGATATTTATCAATTTAACATTTGCTAAAATTTAAATATCATCTGCTTAATATTGTTTTCTATTAATTTTATATTCGTCATTTAGAGTTCTTTAAGTTGTTTTATTTGATTAAAAAATTTCTCACTTATATGAAGTTATTTAATATTAAATGTGTCAGTAATCATTTTTATGACTAGCCTACACAAAACTATTTAATTATAATGTTTATCTTCGGAGCAGTCTTATGATGATTGGAAACTTATTAGGCCAATCAACAGCAGCTTAATGCTTTCTACAACTTTATATACAACTCCAATATAGCTTTGACATTTACATTTTCTACTTGATAAAATCGAATGAATTCTCATGGCACTTGATAATATACACTTTCAAGACCAATAAAACGCACATGAAGATCCTTTGCTTGGCATAAAGTTCACTATTATTGTTGATCTTTAGCATAAAATCAAACTTTTTACCTAAGATTGATTCGATGTTTGTCAGCTTTCATTCTAATGTTCTCTCCATAATGTCATTGTATGACTTTACATGTGATTCCTTCATAATTATGGTAATTTTAAAATCTCTTTGTTCTTAATTATTGATGCCATAATATTTCTTTTTTAATCATTTTAATCTTTTTAGCCTCTTGTTTTTTTTTTATTTTTTGATAATCATGCTCTTTATGAAGTCCTCTGTTTTTTTTATCTTTAGCATGAAATCACTTCGAATGTTTCTCAACCTTTATTCTAGTACTTCCATTTTGACTTCATTGTATGGCTTAAAGGTTCAGTTCCTTTATTATAATTATTATAGTTTTTTAAAAAATCTTGATTCTAAAATTTTGGTGCTATAATATTTCTTTTCCAGTAACTTAAATCCTTTTATTTTTCCAGAGTTTCTCTTGAAAATCTGAGTAGCTCTCTAAAATTTATTGCTCCTCATCTGAATTTGAAGTCATCTTCTTCCTGGCTAAAGCTTAAATTAACATTTTACATAATTTGTAGATCTGATAATTTGGTTCATTTTCTTTTTGTAGGAATCTCTTCTAGAAAACTGTCTTCTTATAACTTCGCAAAATATTGCTTTCAATTTTTTTATTGATGTTTTCTTCAGTAAACAACAACCAAATGCATTCACTCTCATTGCACTTAACTGGTGAAAGTCTTTTGAGCTGCAATCTATGCATTCACTCTCAATGAACTTAACTGGTGAAAGTCTCTTGATCATCAATCTCTTACTTCTAACTATTGTTTTGTGTTTTTCTCCCTTTTAATTCACCCAAGTACTTGGTCAAATGCTGGTTATGTAAACAATTTATGTTTTTATCTGGGCAACAATTGACTTGTTATCTTAAATTTTGATTGCTATGAGTTAGTTAACAGTTTTTAGCAGTTTGAGTTACGACTGTGGAAAATGTATAATGCCTGTTACCTGATATTATATGGATTAGTAGATGCCCATGGTAATTTAGTTCCTTTGAATAAAAGATCGCCATCTCTGAGGTGGTTGCCTTGTTTGCAAAATACATGTAAGTAAGAATCTCTGAATGCTTCTCCATTTTGAAGCTTTAGAACTGACTGTCAATTTTATTAGAAACATGTAAGGATGGAAAATTTCTTTCATTTTTCTACAGCAGCTACGCTTGAGCAATATCTCAAAAAATTAAACCTGAGTTTGAGCGGCTACCTTAGTGATATGTGCAAAAATGCAGTCTTTTTTTATCCGTTCATCATCTGATTCTATATTTGCAGTCTAATATCCAGAACAATTTGCAATATGCTGCAATTAGCGCCCTGAGAAGGCTTCCTCTCGATCCTGGAAATCCAGCATTCTTGCACAGAGCCATACAAGGGTAGTTGGATCTCTCCTTCCAATTTTTTCGTTAGATGCATGATACCTTCATTGTCCTTGATGTTTTTCATTGTTGTCATGGTTAACTCAGTCTTCTTATTAATTATTCTTCTATCAAAAGCAGTTAAGGGTGGCACTTTCATACACATTGATTATAAAAAAATGGCATAGCCAATGATCTGAATGGGGTCAAACAAACCTTATCATTTGGTAGCAGGGCTAGGATGTCATGCAAGAGGGGAAGAGTTGAGGAAAACAGTAAATTTGATTAAATCTTAAATTTTTATTTTAATTAAAATTATTTTGACTATGAACCTGTATGTCAACCTGAACACCTAAATGTTCTAGCACCTTTTAATAAATACCCACACAATGGTATCCTTTACCTAAAAAGGAAAGAAAACTACTCATCCTTATCCCCACTCTAGCCTGAGCTTTCCTTACTAGAAATGGTAAAAGCGAAAATGCTACTGGATTATTTTGTCACAATATAAAGAAATTGTGGTGACTAGTAATTCATCTCTTGGACCTATAACTACCATCCGAGGGGGTGTATTCTATGGTTGGGGTGAAGTAATTCCTTCTGTTTTATTTGAACAAAATAATTGCATTTGTTTCCCCATTGAAGGTGATTTAGCTAGCAATGCTTCTAAGTATTATGTGGAATATGATTTCTCAAATAATTATTTTTTTAACGGTTGATTTAATTTCTTAAACTTCGTTATTGTCATAAAAGATTTAACACAACTATTTGGGTTTGGCTTTATGAGTTTTCATTTTCATTCGTTTATATTTAATGCTATTTAGATGATAAACATGTTTTTCCAGAAATCATATTGAAATAAGTTATATTTATGTAATTATAGGCTTACTCTATGCTTCATATTTCATGAATTTATCAACTCATCAAACGACACATTTCTACGCTTATTTTATCCCCAGTTCATTCAAATATATTTGTACAAAAGTGTTATCTTCCGTGAATAAAATTTTGAGTCCCTTGATGATGAAGAGCAATGTTTTTAAAAGTGCACTTCGAAGCGATGGTCAAGAGAAATGTTTTTAAAAATGTGTTTCACGAGCAAAACGAAATGAAACACGTGTCAACTGTTTCACTTCACTGAAGAGTGCTTAGAAGCGCTAAAGTTAAGCAGGTTTTTTATAATTTTTAAGTTATTAACTATTTTAGAAAATTATAATAAATTTTTAAAATTTTAATTTGTAGATTCACCTTCAATGTTTGTCTTAAAAATTAAGTATTATACCATATTCTTTTTTATTTTATATCAACTTTTAAGTCATACTTTATTTTTTATAATTGTTAATGAATATATTTATACATGAATAGTTTCATATAATCTATCAGTGCTTTGGTTAATAAAAGCACTGCTTCGCTGTGCGTTTTGCGTTTTGAAGCAAAAAATAATGCCTTGTGCATTTAGTTGCATTTTGTGTCTTGATAACACTGGTCAAGAGATTTCTACCACTATAGGTGAATGATGGAAGAGATTTGTTTGTTCAAAACTATCTAGACTTAATATATTTAGATCAATCTTATAAGAACACCAAGTGCAATGCGATGCCCAAGACTTTATTTTTGCTTCAAAGCATAGAACAAAACAACACTTTTATTAACCAAAATGCTATTAGATTATACAAGACTATTAATGTATAAATACTTTTATTAATAGTTATGAAATATTAAGTATGACATAAAAGTTGATATAAAATTAAAAAAAATGTTGTACGATACGTAACTTGAATTCATATATTTATGGTTAATTTATAAATTAAAAATTTGAACAATTTGATATGAATCTTCTGCAGAAATTAGGGAAAACACATTTTATTGTAAGAATATCAAACATTAAACTTTAATATAAAGATAAGCACATACAATTCCAGAGGTAGGTGTTCTCCCTACGGTTTGAGAGATAGGAAATCTCTTCCAAACCCTAACCTAAGAATCACAACAACAATCTTATACATAACTCTAACCCTAAAAATATTAACCCTATTTATACCAAATAATAATAAATGTCAAATGACAAAATTTCCGTTAGGCTAATAATGGCTAAACTGTCATTAGGTGCCGTCATAATATTACTCCCTTCCCAAAAAGACATTCTTCTCAAGGTGAGAAAATTGCTGCTGGATCAAGTCGTATGGTTACCACTGTCCATCACCTTTCGACGATCCTTTTCAATTAATCATAAATTTATATGACCCACATGAATTCGAAATATCTTGTGCACATTTTTTGGCCACATCTAAATCTGATGGTGTTTGGACTTCCAATCAATCAGCTCTTCCTGTAGTTCATCGATCACCAGAATCTCTGTCAACTCTGTATCATATGTTTCTTTCATTTTTGTCAACTTCAATCCTGCTTGCTTCCATTTGTTCAAGCTGTCCTAATGTCCCACTATTCCTTCGAAGTGCGACACTCGATCGTGCTTCTCATTCTTTCGCCCGATCCCGCAACTCCAGACCTACCTGAGACAATGATGTTGCCTTAATTTTGTACGAATTCTTCTGATTGCTGCTGCTCGCTTTAGTTTCAGATGTTGTTGCTCGGTCTCGCTGTAGGTGGTCCAAGTTTTATGTGGGACTCTACAATCTTCTTTATCATTTCTTCTAGAACTGTCAGTCTCCTCTCGAACCACCCCTCCATAATGAGAAATGCTTGTCCATTTCAACTCTTCCTTTAATTTCTCCTAATAGACATTCATTTTCTTAGCCGACCTTAGTTCCAGGAAAAATTTCGATCACTAAGTCAAAATTTCTATACTCTAAAATTCCGTTGTCGCTTCCTAGCTAGCTCTTATTGTGACTGTACCGCAAGTCGGTGATCCCGGATCACTTCAATTCTGTCGCCACTTCCCAGATGGCTCCAATCGCGACTGTATCGTGATATTAGGTCACTGTAAGTCATGATCCCATTGTTTGCGCTCAGATCAGTCATTCGATGTTGCTCCGTACGCCACAATCCCTTTTCCCCGTCAGTTGCAGTTGTATTGCCAGTCGACGACACTTCTCTCTGTATGTTGTGATTTCGATGTTGCTTCCCCTCTAATTTGAATTAGGACTATCATGCGAGGATTATTGTTGGGCTGTATTGCAATTCTTCTGTCATGTATGCCTTGATTCTGAAGTTGCTTCCTTCGACTGCTTCGGCACTGGACGTTGCAATTCGGTTGGGACGACGAAGGCTTCAAAGCCATCTAGCTCTTATCACAACTGTATCACAATCCCTTATAGGATTCCATCGTTGCTCACACCGAACGCTTGAGTATGAAGATCTCATTGACTTTGATTAGGGCAGAGTGAGTTCAAGCCATCCATGTTTACAAGCATCATTTTTCACAGAAATTAGGACAAACACATATTTTATTGCAAGAACATCAAACATTCAATACAAATATAAGGATAAGCACCTACGATTCGAGTGGTAGGTAATCTCTTGCAATTCTTACAATTCGAGAGGTAGGAAATCTCTCCCAAACTCTAAACCTATGACTCTCAACAACAATCTCATACATAACCCTATTTCTAAACATGTTAGCTATATTTAAACTAAACAATAATAAATAACAAATAATGAAATTGCCCTTTAGCTCTGTTATAACAAATTTCTAATATGCTGAATAATTAAAAACGAAAAAATCACAAAATAAATCCTACAACTTAACTTCTATGCTTGGAGTGACGTGGGCGTCATAGGCTTCAGTTCGCTTTGGCTTCAAAGAGTACTTTTAAATTTTACTTTAGATTTATTATTATGGCATTCTTAGTTAATTTTGATTACCTTTTCCCTCACTTATTATAATTGCTATGATGCTCAATTAATCATCCTTGTTTTTGCTTGAGTTTCAATGCCACAAGCGTTCTACTGAATGGTATTTCTCCATGTTTTCAAAAGTTGGTTACTTTGGGTTTTAATTGTTTTCAGCATGAAATGCCTCATATGAATGAGTTTGTTTTCTCTTGTCGAGGGTGTTCATCTTTTCTCTTTGGTGTAGTTTGGTATGCAGAATGCAATTTTAATGTTTCTGTAGAAACCAATAACTGATCAATATTGTATATATTTCCATGCTGCTAGAGCTATTGAATTAGTTTAAATCTGCATTTATGATTACGTGTAGGTGCCTCCTTTTGCATCAGTGAATTATCTATACATTGACAATAGTAGGGTAGTGAGTATGATGTATTCAGGCAATTTAGTATGTATAGATCTTTTAATTTACCGTTCTATGAAATGCAACGATTCTTCCTTTATTAATTTTACTTTGCTATTATTGTAGGGTTTCATTCACTGATCCAGTTGCAGTGAGGCATTCTTTGGCTATCATCTCTGATATAGCTATGAGAGATCCTTATTCTGTAGCTATGGCTTTGGGTCAGTTTATTTTTTATGTGATTACATTATTTGTCGCAATATTACTTAAACATCAGTTCATCTCTCCTAAGTTTATTCTTGCATTGGGCATGGATGTTGATAAACGAGCAGCATGAAAAATCCTCATTACCCATCTGACTTTTACCTGAATCAGTAAATTTATGACAGATGATTTGTTATATATTTCATTCATATGCTAACATGATTCATATTTCCATGTTATTTTGCAGGAAAGCTTGCACAATCAGGAGGTATATTTCTTTTACTTTTTCGGATTGTCATTCTTATCATGTAACACGCATCATTGATACTTACGCTTTTTCTCTGAAATTTGTGTAACTGCAATCCTTTATCCCTTTTCTGTGCTTCTGATTGCTGTATATTTGATAGTATTTCTATATTAAAGTATAAATTGGTTGGTGTGGAATTATGCTCCTTATTATTTACTTTAATTCTATTTAGTACTTGCTATATTTAGTCATAGTATAAAAAGGGTAATTCCTTAATTATAGGTATTTATGTTTATTCCGTAATTATAGGAATTACTTAATTGTAGGAAGATTTCTTTCCTCTTTCTATTTTTTTGTACTCGCCTATTTATAGGTGAATTATCTATGTATTCAAGTGAGAAAAATGATTGATTATTCAAAATTCACATGGTATCACATGGTATCAGAGCCATCAAAGGGGGAAGCCTCTCTCGCTCGGCTTGATCACGACCCTTCTCTCCTGCGACCGTCATCGTCCGATCGTGCCTCTCTCCGATTGTTCGCGTCCGATCGTCATAGCGCCGCATCCAAGCGCCTCTCTCCGATCGTCCGCGTCCGCATTCGAGCGTTGTACTTCGTCCAAGCGCCGCTCCTCTTCCAATCGTCCGCGTCCCGATCGACCGCATCCGAGCGCACGCAGCCCTAGTGCGCACTGATCCCACGATTGTCCGCACCTGAGCGCCGACTCTTCTTCCGCGATGGAGCACAACCCGTTCCAACCGTGCTCCTCGTTGGCGCAACCTCATCTCTGGTCATTCTGCTGGCCACCTCTCCTCTCCAATGACTAAGGACGGCCATGCCTTGCAACTCTTCCTCACTAGTGATGTCACGTCTAGCCACCCCTCCGCGACTGGGTCTCCATTGCCCAACAATTCAGACAATAATTCTGTCCTCATCACCAGCCACAAACTCACCGGCCAGAATTCACTCCAATAGTCGCAGTCAGTCATGATGTTTGTATGCGGCAAAGACAAAGATGACTACCTCACTGGTGATGCTCCAGCTCCGATGACGACAGATCCGTCATACAAGACTTGGAAATCCGAGAATAATATGGTTATGGCCTGGCTTGTTAACTCGATGACACTTGATATTGGCGAAAATTTTCTTCTCTATGACACGACTAAGTAAATCTGGGATGCTGCCCGTGAGACCTATTCTAGCGCGGACAATTCAAACGAACTATTTGCTGTTGAGACCATTCTTCATAACTTTCGTCAAGGTGATCTTTCCGTCACCCAATACTTCAATACTCTTAATCGGTGTTGGCAGCAACTAGATCTATTCGAGGTGCACCTTTGGAAGTGTCCTGAAGACTGTCATATTTTGCCAAATCATAGAACAGAAACGCACCTTCAAATTTCTCCTCGGCCTCAAATCTGAGTTTGACCGGATTCGCTCACGGATTTTGAATTTGAAACCTCGTCCAACAATTTGTGAAGTTTTCTCCGATATACGCCGCGAAAAGAGTCGTCAAAAGGTCGTATTAGGTGTTTCATTGTCCACTATAGCCCTCGACGGGTCTGCACTTGTTGCTCATATCCTATCCACAGACAACTGCCAACGCCAGGGCCGCCCTTAGTGTGACCACTGTCGCCGTTCTGGCCATACTCGGGGTACGTGTTGGCGGATTCATGGCAAACCCGCCAATGGGAAACCCAAACGGGATCATCGGGCAGCTGCCACCATCACCACCGAAGCCTCACCAGGAACGAGCCCATTCAGCGCAGAACATATTCATGCCCTCCAGGAAGATGCTCGGTCAACTGTCACTAGTCCAGCCTACTAGTGTGGCATCGGGTGCCATCGGCCTTGTTACCTATCAAGGTACTTCCCCATCCGCTTTCGTCTTGGATTCAACCTCTTTTCGCCCCTGGATTGTTGACTCAGATGTCTCCGATCATATGACCGAGGATATCTTATTAATAGATTACCGGCCGTGTAATCCTACCCTCACTGTTCGGATTGCTGATGGATCAGCCTCCAAAGTTGCTGGTCTTGGTTCGTCTGCATCGCTCCAGATTTATTCCTCACTTCTGTGCTTCATGTTCCTACTTTGGATTGTAATTTGATCTCTATTAGTAAGCTCACTCATGATTGTCATTGTGTTGCTAAATTTTTTCCATATGTTTGTGAATTTCAGGATTTGAAGTTGGGGAGGATGATTGACAATGCTGAGTTGCGCAGTGGTCTCTATCTTCTCAACAAACCCTCTGTCAGTCTAGTCTCACCCACCGGTTGTATTCCAGTATCAAGTCTGTCTTGCTTAAATTCGCTTAGTACATCTGTATTTCATTCGAGCGTTAATAATGATAGTGAAATCATGTTACTTCATTATTGTTTAGGTCATCCCAATTTTATGTACCTTGGGAAACTATTTTCTCATTTATTCATTAATAAAAGTCCTACCTCTTTTAATTGCGAATTTTGTCAACTTGCCAAACACACTCGTACTTCATTTCCTCGTTTATCATATAGACCCACTCGTCCCTTTTCTCTGATCCATAGTGACGTCTAGGGTCCTTCTCGTGAAAAAAATATTTCTGGGGCCCAATGGTTCGTGTCCTTTATTGATGATCACACACGGGTGACATGGATCTATCTTATGCGTGACAAATCTGAGGTAGGACCAATATTTTGTGCATTCTATCAAATGATACTCACTCAATTTGACACAAAAATCCAGGCTCTTAAAATAGATAATGCACGAGATTTTTTCAACACCTCATTAGGAATTTTTCTTATTCAACATGACATCCTTCACCTTAGCACATGTGTTGATACTCCCACAAAATGGGTTTGCCAAGCAGAAAAATCGTCACTTGTTGGAGATAGCCCGCTGTCTCATGTTTACCACATCAGTCCCTAAATGTTATTAGGGCGAGACAACATTGAGCGCTGCCTACCTCATAAATCGGATGCCCTATCGTATTCTGGGTTTTCGTAGTCCAATGGATGTCCTCCTTCGCTCCTTTCCAAATACCTGTACACTCTCTTCAGTTGTCCCTACCAAATTATTTGGTTGCTTCGTCTTTGTTCATATTCACAAACAACACCGCTGTAAATTAGACCCCAAATCTGCCAAATGCATATTCATAGGGTATTCGACCAACAAGAAATGCTACAAGAGTTATTGTCCTTCAACTAAAAAGGTCTATAATTCTATGTATGTCACCTTTTTTGAGCATCAATTATACTACCAAGGGTCTGTCATTCAGGGGGAAAGTAGTCGTAGTGAACAACAACCCTGTGTTCCTTTACCAACTGACACGGGTCCCTCACCGACTGTCAAACTTCCTCCATCTCCTATTCAACCTCCTCAGTCTACACAACCCACTCCTCAGGAACTTCGGGTCTATACAAGACGAAACAAAACTGCTGAAAGGTTAGAGAACCTAACACCGCTTCCAGCTGCTGTCCAAGAATCTAATCCGGCTCCAAAATCCTCTGAAACTCACTCAGGTATGGAATCTATAGACACTAGTGATTATGAGCTTACCCCGCCTGTGAAAGATGATTCTGATGTTCCTTGCACTCAACATCCTATTGCCCGATTTGTTTCATATGAGAGGTTATCTCCTCCCTATCATGCATTTGTTACTGCTATTGACAACATAAATGTTCCGAATTCTATTTAGGAAGCTCTCTCACACCCGGAATGGAGAAAAACTATGAAGGAAGAAGTTGCTGCACTAGAAAAGAGTGGGACGTGGATTGTGTCTGATTTGCCAAAGGATACGAGACCAGTAGGATGCAGGTGGTTATTTACAATCAAATGTAAGACAGACGGAAGCATATATCAGTTAAAAGCCCGACTGGTTGCAAAAGGTTATACTCAGTCATACGGAATTGACTACCAAGAGACATTCGCCCCAATAGCCAAATTGAACTCCATTAGAATCCTACTCTCCATTGCAGCAAACCGAGACTGGCCCCTTATGCAACTTGATGTCAAAAATACATTCCTTAATGGAGATCTTGAAGAGGATGTATACATGGATTTACCTCCTGGTCTTGAAGGGTCCTTCCCTAGTGGCAAAGTATGCAAGCTCCAAAAATCTCTGTATGGTCTCAAACAATCTCCCCGTGCTTGGTTTGCTCGATTCACCAATTCCGTAATCAAGTACGGTTATACTCAAAGCCAGGCTGATCATACAATGTTCACAAAAAGATCCGAGAAGAAGATTGTTGTACTTATTGTGTATGTGGATGACATCATTCTTACCGGTGATCACACTGAAGAATTGACAAAGCTGAAGAAGTTCCTAGCCCATGAATTCGAAATCAAGGACCTCGGAGACTTGAAGTTCTTCTTGGGAATGGAAGTTGCAAGATCCAAAATGGGGATAGCCATAACTCAAAGGAAGTACACATTAGACCTATTGAAAGAAACTGGTATGCTTGGATGCAAACCAATAGATACTCCAATAGACTCGTATAAAAAGATTGGAATGGAGAATGATAGTTTACCTGTCGACAAAAGACGATATCAACGGCTTGTTGGGAGACTTATTTACTTATTCCACACCAGACCAGACATAAGCTTTTCAGTAAGTATAGTAAGTCAATTCATGAACTATCCTACTGAGGAACATATGGAAGCTGTCAACTGTATCTTAAGATACTTAAAGATGACACCTGAGAAAGGATTATTATTCAAAATGAATGATAGTCAAAAGGTAGAGGTCTTTACTGATGCTGACTGGGCAGGAGATATATCCACCCGACGATCAACCTCTGGGTATTGCTCTTATGTATGCGGCAATCTAGTGACATGGAGAAGCAAGAAACAATCGATGGTATCTCAGAGTAGTGCAGAAGCAGAATACAGAGCACTGACGCTTGGCATCTGTGAAGAAATGTAGATCAAAAGATTTCTCAAGGAGTTTAGAATTATGGGAGAAAATTCTATCAAGATGTTATGTGACAATCAAGCAGCAATCAGTATCGCAAGGAATTCTGTTCATCATGACCGGACGAAA